TTACGTTACGTTACGTTACGTTACGTTACGTTACTTACGTTACGTTACGTTACGTTACTTACTTACTTACTTCTTCTTCTTCTTCTTCTTCTTCTTCTTCTCTCTCTCTCTCTCTCTCTCTCTCTCTCTCTCTCTCTCTCTCTCTCTCTCTCTCTCTCTCTCTCTCTCTCTCTCTCTCTCTCATTCTATTATCAGCTTTATCTAGCTTTCAGAGTTTTCATCTTTTTGGATGTGAAATTTGACTCTGTGTGCCAGTCTGAACTTATTGTCTTTACACAACAGATTGGGTTGCAGTGTTTATGCATGTAATGTAAATCAATTAGATTTGTGCTTCTTTTCAATGATATTTCAAGCAATCTCTGCTTCTCTTCATTAATAATTGGTATTTCTGATAGCAAAATCAAGTTCTATTTCTAGACTTCTTTCCATGCCCGAATACGCAGTTCTTGCAACTTATACATCAGAATATCAGAATTCAGTCATTTTAGTTACCATAATGGTAGTAATATTTGCGATTATTTAAGTTTTATGCTGATATGAAGAAAAGAAAGTCCAGAAACATGAGCTATAGTCTGAGGCTACAATTTCTATATTTCTTGTGATTTTTAGCAGACTAAATATTCAAACTGAACAAAATTTCTCTCAAGTTGGATTCCAAACACCGGTAAATTTCAGGGGAAATTTCATTGTTCCAAGCAGTGTTCCATGCCACAGCAGAGTCCTCGCCCTAGTGGCTAGGCAAGTTGGGTGCTCAACTCACCCTCCACCAAAGACGGCCTAAAAAATTCCAATATATTGCTTAGAAATTAATTTTCAGAGGATTTTGATAGTTTTGAGGATAATTTGTATCTCATATTTTTTTCCCTTTTTTTCACTTTTTCTGAAATATACAAGGTATAAACATTTTTCTTTTTTTTTCCAATAGTCTGTATTTGATAAAAAAAAAATTCATCTGCTTTAGGCTTCTAATGATTTCTATTACCTCTAAATACTTCTTCTATTTTTGGTTATGTTTTAGAAATATTTTGCTTATTTTTAATGGGTGTGCATAACTCGGGCAAGTCTACTCGGACTCGGCCGAATTGCTCGCCTCGGCCAAGCTCCAAGTACCTTGGCCATGTTGATTTCCTAACATTTGTTCCAAGACTTCTTGTATTATAGTTACTTTATATCAGTGAACTTCTTAAATTGGTATTCTTGTATGCCTAGGCCGGTTTTCAGCTAAAGCTGGGTTTATCTTAACATTTGAACCCCATTGGCACCACTGTAGCCATTATTTCAGATTTCAATTTTGTATTATTATTTAAAATATGTGATAAACAAGTCCCCTAAATCTAGGTCTTCTACTCCTTACCAAGTCACCCCATGTTTATTCCCCAGCCAAATATGTTCTTGTCTTTCTCCGTAACAGTAACTGCAATCTTTTGCCACTCAATTATCACATCAGTGATATATGGGTACTCCAATTCTTAGTCTAAAAGGCATTTACTCCCTCTTTAACTTGAAATCAAGATTATGCGGACACACATGAATGCATATTGCATTCTAGCTAAATCAATATTGACAGCATCTTGATAATTTTCATGGATTCATTAATCTTATTGTTCTATCGTTCTATCTTTTGAATGTGAATTGGTGACCTCCAATTTTGAAATTTTAACTTTTAGAGGACAAGGAGCTGTGCTACTAGTGTATGAAGAAATTATTTTCCCAATCTAGGTGCGGCTTTTCTGCTTGTGCTGAATACCTTGTTACTCCAACTACTCTTGAATGTAGTAGGTTCACAAAACATGTGTTTTTTGTGTGTGTGTGTGTGTGAGAGAGAGAGAGAGAGAGAGAGAGAGAGAGAAACTGCAACATGTGTTCTTGTCTGAGGCATGATAGTTTGTCATGGTAGTGTTGATGCGAAGTTTTTAGGTACTGGACTCCTTTTAATTCCACAGATGGAAGTGAATAGTTTCTCTTGCTTTCCTTTTGTCATTTGAATTAGATGCATGCACTTGGATGGATTTAGTTTTCATACATTTTTTTTTGGAAAATTGTTTCATGCGGGCTGGACCGCATTTCTACCATATGCGGTCCAGAGGTATAAAGCATCCATCTTAAAGATGGATACAAATAGGTGGTCCATCTAAAAGCAAGTGTAACTAATGGTCCAAATGTTTTCTTACTATAATTATTATTTCTAGTTTTCATTTTTTTTTTTTGGATATTCATGATCTCCATGTTAAACATTATATATTCACTAAAAATTAAGATCAAATTTTATGTAAAAAATATATTTATTGCCAAGCCCACTTAGAAACCGTGTCCTTTTTTTTTTTTGCTAAATGAATTGCAAATAGCTTCCAGTGATCTCCCAGCATGGTCATCATTTCAGCTCCACAAACAGAAACCTAGCTTGATTTCAAAATCTGTAAATGATATTTTATGATTTACTAATCCTTTTCCAATACTTTATGGCAGTTGGCCCATCTCTATAGCTATCCTACCCTGAAAACTCCGGAACCTCGAACATTTGGGTCTCCTAGACCCTTCTACAATCTTTTTAAACTTTCTCCAACCATCTAGACACATCTACAAGCATCTAAAATACTCCACATGTGGTGAGAACCATCCTTAAGGGGGAATTTAGTCCTGAATTGGAGTCATCGAATCCAATTTTCTTAATTAATGTTTAGCGTGTGACTATAACTTCAGCTTTCAACCTTGCGCTTTAGTTTCTTCTCTATTTGTCAACATGACAGGCTATAATTCATATTGCTATACCATGTTCCGTTCTTTCTTGAGCTTACTCGAGTTATTCTTTGTGCCTTTGGAGTTTGAATTCTGACTTTTTTCTTTTGTTTTTGCAGCGCTCGTTCTTTGGTTTCAATGGATCAACATTTTGAAGTTGTCTGGTGAAATACTGCATAAGCTTGTGGAGCTTTGCTTGTCATTTGCAGATCTCATTGTTTTCTTCTAGTTTTTGTTGTATGGACCAACATTTTAAGGTTCTGTTGAAATAATGCATAAGCTTGTGGAGCTTTGTGGTTGCTTCTTGTCGTTTGCAGAGCTCATTATTTGCTTCTAGTGTTTGTCGTTTGAACTTAAATCTCCACTGGCGCAAGTGGGTGTTAGCCAGGTTTCGACTATGCAATATTTGGTCAGTGCTTCATGTTGCTGGTTGAAGAGAAATACTTCATTGATGGGTTTGTTTTGGTTTTCTTTCAAAAGACGTTCTTATGACATTTGATCCATTGGTGTAAACACCTGGCTTGAATTTCTAAAGGGTCCGGTTTGTATAGAGCCTAGGCTCTAAACAATCAAATTAGAGCCTACCTTCAAATAATGTCAAGAAATGTGATTTCAATACTGAAAATCATTGTGATAGCTTTAAAATATATTTTCATCTTTATTTATAAAGTTTAAAACTTCAAAAATAGTGTACATTTATGAAAACTTGTAAATCTTGAAAATTGACGGTAAAAAAATGCATTACAAAATACACTATTTTGAAAACTTGAAATTTTTTTTTTTTTCATATCTATATAACTTACTGTTGAGATGATCAATTTGAGGATATTTAGACATCAAAACAACCTCTTTTAGTGAAATTTTTGAGGTAGGCTCTAATTTTTCCCTCATCTAAAAATGTATTTGTAATAGGGTTTTGTTGAGTTGCTGTTGTCCGTGGTAAGATTAAAATTTAAGGCCTGTTTAAACGTGCCGACAACCCTCCCGCGCAAGATGGGCTTATCGGTGAAGGAGGCAAAACACCTTTCAAAAGTGGCAACATTGCTGGTTTCCTTTTGCACAAAGAATTCGGCAGAACACTCTATTTCTGCCACAAGAATCTTGGGCTCTCAGCAGCAATAGCCTATGCATCTAATCCTGTATCACGAGGTGTTTGTTCTGCATACAAACATCGCCTAAAGTCAAATTCCTTTGACCCATAAAACTGTTTCAAGACGATTAGACCTACCAAGATAGATTCCCTGTGAAACATTTCCTCAAATGACTTCCAATTGAATGAGATCACTATGATTCAACAAATCCGACATTTGTGACTTCTGACTGGTTCTTCGGAAGTACGGTTACTCGTATTTTTCTTGAAACCATTGTTTTAAGTGTTCTCAAAATACATTTTGTTATAATTCTAGTACACTACCACTTTCTTGGCATGAAATTTTCAAGGGAGAGAAGGGTTGGGTTTTGGTGGATAACTTAGGTTGACAATATGGACATTGCAATATAAGAAAGAACCACCAAAGAACAAAGAGCACCAAAAATAAATATTCCCCAAACTCAAAAAAAGTTGCGAGCATTAAACTCAAGAAATGCATTTAAGAAGAAAAAGAACGAAGAGAAAAGAAGGGACATTAGTCAAAAGAGCTCAAAGCATGCAAACTTGCATTGAAAGGCATCCACCAGACAATCAGATGATATGAGTATGGAAATGAAGCCACCCCTACAATCTGTTCGTTCGCAAGAATACTGGGAATCAAAATGGAAAAGAAACATGGGTTAGAGGACTGCTATTCTGGTCATGGTTATTGGAACATGGCCTTTAGAGTAGGGAACTCCCAATTTTCCCCAAAAAACAGTTTCATCAGTGTCATGTGACATGAACTACATTTCACACCGAAGGGAATGCATGAAATCTTGAGCATTCAAAAGCATACGTGGATACTAATTGAAGGGTATGATTTATATAAAGCTGAGGCTTTAAACAATCAAAATAAAGCGCACATTCAAATAGTGTCGAGAAATGTGGTTTCAATACTGAAAATCTTTGTGTGTACAGAAAAGAGGACCAGATCTACGCCACAAGTGTAACACTTGTTTAGCGAAGAGATATCCCGCCACACACATTTCCTTGGTAAGATCGCTAGTAAGGGATAACTGGGCACAGTCAACCCCCGCAATGTTTTGAAGCATTGCCGCCTGTGGTGTGTTGCAAACTTTAAGACCCTGAAAAGTTGCTTAGTATTGCTACCATCTATTCATGTCTTAGCTTTTGCACGTCACACTCCCCAAGATGAGAAGTCACAAAAACCTCCCATGGGCAGGCGCTTGGTCATGAACCAAGAAGCTAATCACCGGTTGGCGTCAAAGACAACCAAACCAAAGTAATCAACCAGGGGTAGACATAGCCTTAAAAAATATTTTCATCTCTAATTATAAAATTTAAAGTTTAAGCAATAGTGTAGATCGAGCAGATACATGAAAACTTGAAAATTTTGAAAATTGACAGTCAAAAAATGCATTACAAGATGCACTATTTCAAAAACTTGAAACCTATTTTTTTTTCTCATGTCCATGTATCTTGAGGTCGAGATGATCGATTTGAAGATATTTTAACGTCAAAACAACATCTTCTAGTGAAATTTTTGAAATGCACCTTAATTTGATTGTTTAGAGTCTCCCACTAGTATAAACTTTTTCCCTAACTGAAATAAGGCCTAAACACTGGTTAACAATATTATGGCCACAATCTATATAAAAACAATGTCAGGGCCGCAAACTCCAAACTTGGAAAGGCTTGAAGCTCCAATACAAAGAGAAGAAGTTTTGATTGTGGATGTCATCACACAAGCACAAGTGCGCATGAGCGCGCACACACAAGAACAAGTGCGCATGAGCGTGTGCATACACACCCAGAGAGAGAGAGAGAGTTCAATATAACGCACAAAACCATGTTCTTCATTCACCATCCGTAATAATTTACAGAGCCTGTGAAGCATTGGTTGGTCTCCAATGTTTGCAATGCTAAGCCCTACTAAAAGGCAATCTGATAGCATCCATCAAATATTTACTCAACTGCCACATTTTGAATTATAACACTTTACAGACCCCTAGTTCTCTTTTCTGAATATTTACCATACCTAACACATTGGCCAGTTAGATGCACAGATCTTCTTACTCATAGTACAAGCTCCACAAGATGCAGCTCTGCATCGAAAATTAGACCAAAAGCTTCAGATGGCTGAACCAGCCCATCCACCATCCCTCCAAACACATACACATGCCTCATTGATTCATCAGCACAAGCCCTATGGAACGACCTAGGGCTTGGGATGTGGCCCTCTGGCCTAAGTTTCTTCCATACCTTCCTACCTCCAAAGTTAGTAGGCTCCGAGATCTCAACTCGAGCTTTGATGGTGGGAATAGCATTAGGATCAAGTACCCAAAGGTCATCGTTTCTACGTCTATATGAATCTTCACCCCCATATATCAAAATTCTACCACCCAAAACCAAGGTAGCTGAGTGGCCGACTCTAGGTGAAGGCACCAAGCCCCCAAGTACATTGGGTGCATAATTCATGAGCTCAACCCACTCTGGTGCCTCGCTTGCTATGTCTAATAACCACAGATCGTTGAGTACTTCAAAGCCCGGTCCTCTACCACCAAATAAGACCATGCGGCCCCCACCAATCCATGTGATCGTATGACCCGAGCGTGCTGAAGGGGAGGGGGGGAGAGTCATGATCTTACGCCAGGTGGCTAGGTCCCAGCCGTTGGACAGATCAAGGAGCCAGGTGTCACCTAGGCGAAGCCCGTCGAGGTCGATCCCACCATGTATCACCATCCTGTTGGGGCCTGCATAGCAACTGGCATGGGCCCCACGTGGGGGTGGGAGGGGAGGGCCCACGTCTAGTGGGGTCCACGAGAGGCTTAAGTTGGGGAGGATGTGGCATACCCATGTGTCATTTTGGCGGGCCCCATTCTCATTGATTCCACCAAAAAGAATGAGTGCATTGTCAATATTGCAACAGGTTTGGCCAAATCTTCCGCTGGGGATCCCTGAGCTTATCTTTTGCCAAATCACACCCCTTGTGGGCCTGCCCCCAATGTGGGCCAGCCATGTGTCGTCTAGGTGGCGACCTGCACATGCATATAAAATATGGGATGTTCTATATTTTTGGTTGAGGAAAATATAGTGTTCCATGATAAAGTGTTCCTTCTATGAAAGAGAAAGAAGGGAAATTATACCATGACTCATGGGATTTCCAGAGTCCACTGGGTCAACACCCATTGGATGAAATGATAGGTGGTGATGGAGAAAGTGGGACCCCTGTTGAGCTCATGTCCTATTATTGCAGGTCTCACTCTCCATCATCATCCACTTTAGCTTGATGACCTTGAAGGACAATGGCTTGCCATGGTTCATTGGATTATTGCGAATATGTATATATATGTTCAACATGCTCACAAGATATTGTGGATGTCGCAAAACATGCTTTGAACAAATTTCTTTTTGAAGCAATCAAAGAGCAGAATTTTAAGAACTAAGTATTAGGGTGCTTAGACAGACCAGACGTGAGAAATACAAGTTAATCCAATCATTTGTCAAAGACAGCAAATGCTCCGCTTGAACTGATCATGACTCGTCAAATAGAAGGAGACACGAAAGGCCCAATAATTCACAAGAATGTCGGACAGATGTGCCACCACAACATCAAATCTCACTAGAATAAGTGTTGGGTCTGAATATTTCTGTCCAAATTGTGTAAAAGGATATTTGAACATTGCAAAGATAGCAACCAAGAGTCTAAAGTAGTAATTTGCAATAATAAATGATCACCACATGTCATGGATCAGATGAAGCATCTGTAGTTTATAGATTTGGCCAACGTAAAGAAACCATAATGAGTGCAATATGCTCTGCTTCTGCATAAAAGTCTAGGCTCTGCTTCTGCATAGAAGTCTATGCTATAATCAATACAAAATGCATACAATATTAATGAACAAGAATATAGATATGTTTTTTTTATACTGTCAACATTGTATTAAGTAGAAGAGAGGTTACAAAAACACCCTGAGGGACTATACATGTCACTGAAGAATCTAGATATGTTGATCGAGTGCCCAAGCCAATTAAGATAATAAGTGTCCACCCAGCCTTACTCTTTTATGTCATATCTACAGAAACAGCCATTGAATGTGAAGCTCATCTTTTTCCCCTTGTTCAACTTTCCATCCAAAATGGAATTAAAATATATTAAAAAGAAAAGAGAAACATGTATATGAGAACCCATGATTAAATAATAGACAGTTTTTAATCAAACAGTGGAGAAAGGCACTCACAAAATTCTAATAACTAAATAACAGGATTTCTCCATATCAACCATGAGAACCATTCCCAATCTGATACCCCAAATCAATGATCAAATGCTTCTTAAGTATAACCACAAATGGTATAGGAGGAATCTTTAGAAACTCCGAGAGAATATCCCTCTCATTCTCCCTGCCTAACGGGACTGTGGACTTGACTGAGGCAGAAGCCCATGCCTTCCTCGAAGGACTCAGGCGCTTCGACCACTCTTGGGGCCCTCCCCTCTTAGTAGAGGGGGACTCTCAGAATGTCATCTCTTGGGCCTCTTGCACCTCATAACCACCGTGGAGACTTTGGCACCTGTTTGACGAAATTGATCTGTACAGGTGCAGGTCTCTTGGAGTCATATCTGAAGAGAGGCCAAACAGGTTGCAGATGAACTTGCTAAACTCAGTGCTGTCTCGGAGTTATTGCACAGTTAATAGTTTTGGTTGAGGATCACATGGGTACTCTTTGTTTCTTTTTCGCCTTTTAGTATCCTAGTTCTTTACGCTTCTTTTGTTTTTGTCACCTTCCTCGGTAACCTTTAGTTTGTAATCCCTTTGGGGAAGTTTTTGTATTTCTCTATTTCATCAACCTATTTCATCTATACAATGTTGAGAGCATCAAAAAAATATATGCTACAGATAGATGCATGGAAAAAAAGAGAACTAAAAAAATGTTGACAATTAACGAACATAATTAAAAGTCACAACCACATAACACTAACAGCATGATAATCTTCTACGAAACTGATATAGATATTTAAATACCGTCAAAAGATTATATGAAGACAAAAGACATGATATAGAAGGTTTCAACATGAAACTTTCTCAAACATTTTTTGGGGACTAGTCACGCAACAATCAAGTTATGAAACCTTTTTGACCCCTTAATGAGAAAGGTACTTATATAGCCGCTAAGGTAAATGAGTTTATATATGCCTGGTCATTGAAAAAAAATAAAAATATCTCCACCTAGACAACTCTCTCTTCCACTAGAAAGCCTGCATGCATTTAGGAATTGGGCTTGGGCAGGATTGATTGGTGGTTGACAATTTCAACACCATGTCCCAGGCTCGATTCCTACCACTGTACTACCCAAAAGAAACCTCTCTCACAGAGACATGGAAATACATAGGTACAATGCTGGGCATATACACATACATGCAAACTGCATGCTTTCACTCGAGAATAAATATATAGAAGGATCTATATATACATGAATATGAATTTGCATGTGTGAAATTGGGATTCCTGTAATGCTATGTATCAACTCCACGAAAAGATAAGGTCCAAAAAACAGAGATGGTGAGTACTAAAAGAACCCAAAAAATATGGTACTAAACAAGGCAAACAATTTCAATAAAGTTAAAAATTTAAAAGGAAAAAGCTGAAATTAACTCCCACAATTGAAATTTCAAGATGGGTTGAACATTAAGAAAGGAAATAGCAGAAATTAACTCCCATATTTGAAAATTTTGAAGTTAAAGGCATTTATTTTGGCATTTTCTTTTCCTATGGGTTCAATATGTAGAATTTAGACAAATGACCCATTGCCAAGAAAGTAGCAGTTATTGACTTCTGATGTCTCAAGGTTAGAAGAATAATGGCTGATAGATGAAACACAACTCAGAGACAACACAAAACAAAAGTCACTTTCATAACATGCAGAAATTCAAAGAAGTTACATACAAAGCGTAGTAAATAAACTAATAAGAGATGTATTTAAAGAAAACTCTGGCACTCTGATGAATAAATGACCCTAGGTGTGACAAATGGTACATTTGAACTCTTTGTTTATTGCATAAAAGGATGCCAACCCCCTATATAAAGAGAATGGGGGTTTACACCAAACAGTTCTTTAAGTGGTATCAAGCCAATAATATACAAGAAGGCAACAATGACAAGCATAGTAGTGTAAGCATGACAAACTCTATTATTTCTAGTTAATTGTGGAAAACTTGCATAGATAAATCTGCACACGCATGTGAAAATTCCTAGAAAACCACAATACAATTATGTAGAGACACACATGAGTCCATACATATAATCACAAGGTTGTACATTATGCTACTTCTCTAGGAATCCCAATGACAAACCTGTTCATGCTTTCATTCCAAGGGAACTAGACAGTCCGGGGTGCTCAAACAAGTATATTGTAGAAGGTTATGAAAATAAGTACCAATAAGAAAAAGAAAGCTCTGAAAAATAAACCAAAAAAAATGCATGCAAGAGTTATTTGCACTAAGCTTGTATCACAAATATGTCTGCCAACAAGCTATGTTTGTTGAATACCAAAAAGAACTGTAAGGAGTTTCTACAAACACATTTGCATATCTCCACAGAGGTTTCAATACCTCTATATCTACAAAAATTAGTACCAAACCCAATCTAAAGGAATTCGTCACAAGAAAAAGGTCACCCTTAACAGGTTTTAAAATGCCAATCAGGAAAATGCCATGTGTAAATGAACAAAACAACTTGAGACTTGGACATTCAGAGGAATTCCACGTAGGGAATCTTGGTGACCAAACTCTCCCTGGATAGAAACCTAGATACCCTCCACCTTCATATGGGCTTGAAAGGGAAGTGAGGTTCCATGGAGGCTAGACAGTACTCTCATGGGAATTTCTGATTTGCTGCGAGTCTTGTGATTCTTATGTGGTTTTCGCCCATAGAGATGCAACTTAGTGTTTTTTGGAGCCTAAGATTCAATAAGGTGCATTAGTGTTAGTCTGCCCCTAATTTGTAGTATTTTTGTTTTTTATGTCAATTGTCACCAAAAACAGAAATGGACAAAAAAAAAAGAGAGGTAGAAGTTGAGGTTGAATGCATAGTCCCAGAATTAATTAATTAATGGCCTTCTCCTAGTCAAAGATACAAGAAAAAAGAAACAATTCTGCTCTATCAGTAAAAACAACAGATGACACCACTTGTACAACATCTGCAGTATGTATGGTAAACACAAAAAATAGTAAACAAAGATTCCCATTAGTCCTATCACTGATAAAACAGAAAAGAATATCAGTTAATTTTATGATAACTGGACAACCACTAACCCTTAACTTCATATGGACGGACCAAAACAAGAGAGATCAATGATCCAGATATAGCAAGGAAAATCAGATAATAATTTTTCATGATAAACCTCCACCCAATAACAAGTAAAAAAAGATAAATCACCAAATTAAACAAGTAAACAAAGATCAAACAAGAAATAAAACCTAAGAAAGATGAGTGATTTGGATATTGCAGGGGAAAACAGACATGGGTTCTCAAGATAAACCTCCACAATAACAAATAACAGAAAAACAAGATAAATACTTCACATCAAACAAATAAATAGCATGAAAAGCATACAAAGTAATTATCCAATTCACCTATGGTGGTAATCAAATACAGATTGGATGAGATAGAAAGCCTAACCTCCTTCGCAACCCCCACCAAAGAGAACAAGGGAATCAGAGATGAGATTGAGAGTATGAGAAGCTCTTGGAGGCGGGCAAACATGATCTTGGTTTAGTCTATGAATTTGCAGAGAACTCAATTGGCGGACTTTTTTGTAGAGGTTTTTCCAGTTGGGCTTCATGGTGGAGAGAGAAGAACTGAGCAGGGCTTCAAAAGAGTGATTGCCCCAATCCTTTATGCAAATTTGTTCCCAAAGGGAATCAGAGGAGGCAATGGAGTTGAAGGATTTGCAGGTCATGGAGAAGGAGAGGAGAGATGGAAGGGGAAGGAGCTGGAGGATAGATTGAAGGAGATCAGAGTTGATGGAGCTGATGTAGCATTTGTCCATGGTGTGCTCCGAGCTCTCTCTCTAGAATTTGGGCTCGTGGGGCGTGAGAAAATTATCTCCAAATCTCTCTAAAACAGTGGGCGTTCGTGCAATGGAGAGTAAACTCTCTGTCTCTCTTGTGGCCAAAGGGAGGAGAGGAAATGGATGGTGTGGCGAGTATGGACAGAGAGACAAAGAAAAGGCCGTGTACTAGGGACGTTTCCCGAAGTTCAGAGACAGAGAGAGAGGTTTCATAAAGAACAGAAGGGAGGGAGAGAACAAGTGTGGGGTTGTTCCATAGAGCAAATTATGAGAGAGAGCATATGGGTTTCAAAGAGAAATTATGGGTTTAGAGAGAGAAAGTGTGTGCAAGCTGTGTGCATTGCGGTTTAGAGAGAGAAAGTGTGTGTAAGCTGTGTGCTGTGCGAGTACGACCTTTTGTCTGGGTCACATTCACAAGACTACGTTGAAGAGAGAGAGAGAGTTATCCGAGAGAAGAGGGGAGTGCAGGGCGTGCCTGGAGAGAGAAAGAGGGGCGTGCCTGGAGAGAGAAAGAGGGGCGTGGCTAGAGAGAGAGAGGGCGACGTGGAGGAGGACATTCCGTCGTGCAGAGAGGGCGGCTTGGTGGGGTTTCGCAGAGGGGAGAGATAGGATACGGTGGGACCGGGTGTTATAGAGTGCAAGCGGAGGAGAGAGAGAGAGAGGAGAGTGTGCCAAACACACATCAACTAGAGAGAGAAATATTTAGAGAGAGAAGAAAAGCAGGAGAGAGAGAACATGGTTAAGCCATTTTGAGAGTGAAAAAAGAGGAGAGAGAGCAGTATGTAAAGCTTTAGATCCAATGCTCAATTGAGAAAGAGGAGGGAGAGAACCAGTATGTTAAATTGAGAGAGAAGTACCAGAGGCGTCAGAGACCAGTTTCTTAAATAGAGAGAGAAGAAGGGGAGAGAGAGGAGGACTAGTATGTTAAATTGAGATAGAAGAGAAAGAGGAGAGGGAGGCTGAAATTTCTACAGGGTCCGGGGTTTATGAAAACAAAATAAAGCTTCAACTTAAATCCTCACTTTTCACAATGGAAATATCTGTGATACGTCTTAATCAATTTTATATTAAAAATAAAATTTAAAACTTAAAAAATGATACTGGATCTATGAATATTTATTTTTACGGTAAAATAAACATTCTAAGTAATTTACTACAATATATATTTTTAGAGCTTAAAATTTTAACTTTTTTTACAAATAATATGATCAAGTCTAAATGATCGATTTAAAAGTTTTCTAATGCTTGAGTTGTAATTTTTTATGACTTATGAAATGAGGTTTTATGTATTTTAATACGGTTGCAACCCTATCAAACCATTTTCCTAACCAATAAAAAAGATAAATGCTTCTACCCTACCTAAAGTACACAAATATAAACATGAGAGCCTAGACTAGTTTAGAGAGAGAAACTCGATTGAATGCACCGAAACCTCATCACATCAAGGTATCAACATTAAACAGTCAAAGTAAGGCGCGTCACGACATTATGTAAAGGTGTCAAGAAAACTTGTGATGGAGTGAAAATCTATTGCAACTCTCAATTATGAAATTTAAAGCTTAAAAAACAATGCAAACTTAATAGATATATAAATAATTAATTTTTTTGAAAATAGACTGTCTATATAATATTGATAAGATGTAATGTTCTAATGATTTGAAATCCTTTTTTCCCATATAAGTGAACTCGAGCTTGAGATGATCAAAGTGAGGATTTTCTAAAATCAAAATAACCATTTGTGAGGGGTTTTGGAGATACGCCTTACTTCAATGGTATAAGGTTGACACCTTGTAAGAATTATTTCCCTATGATTCGTCTATAATTCGGATATATATACTCTTTTTTTGTACAGCGTTTTTTAAAGATGGACACTCTTATTGAGTTCATGTTCATTATATCAATTACAAGCACCTAGTAATCTCGAGCTTTAGATAATCAAAGCGAGGGTTTTCTAACATCAAAATAACCAATTGTGAGGGGTTTTGGAGATACGCCTTACTTTAATGGTATAAGGTTGGCACCTTGTAAGAACTATTTACCTATGATTTGTCCGTAATTCGGATATATATACTTTTTTATTGTAGAGCGTTTTTGAAATATGGATACACTTCTACTGAGTTCATGTTTCATTATATAAAAAATTCAATTACAATCACTTATAAGGCTTTTTAATGGTGACATATATTCAACACTTTTAACCCATAATAAGTTAAATTAATAATTAAAAAATTATCAATCTTAAACGAAAATGACCGATCTCGATAAAAATTGACGATGACATTTATTTATTTTTGTTGAAAAAAGCGATTCAATAAAGATAAGTAATTAATATGCACTTTGTAGCCAAAGGTTTGAATGGTATTTATAGACCACGAGGTCACAAGGTGCACCCAACCGAACCGTTCTCAGATACAGATTTCACACAAGAGAATGCATATTATGCTCCCTCACGAGTATAATTTACTTCTACCCCTGTTTGAGGAACTATTTGATAGGATTTTTTATTCTGAATTTTGGGAGCCACTTAAGAATCACTAACTAATTAAGTCAAAAGGAAAAAAGTTTGAAATTTGAGTATTCTAACATTTAGATCCCACTCTTTAAAAATTAGATAGTTTGTATTCAATATTGAGACATTATTTTTTTTAAGTGCTTAGAACGTGCAACTAGGAAAAGTTTTTTATTAACTTCAATCTATGTATTAAGGAGGTTATATCCCCAAAAAATGGGGGTCCTAAAATTAATTTGGGTGGGGTTTTTCTCAAGGGAGTAAATGGACAATATAATCCTAAGGGAATAGAATATCTTTTAGCTTCAATGTACATTTTTTTTGTTCTTTCAAAATTTTATTGGATTAGTGATACAAGTGATCTAGATAAGGATTGGTGGATGGACAATCTATCCTGCTGATCCCTTTTTAAAAACACCGATTCAAACATCTAGCGCTTTAGTATCGCAACGAGGAAAGGTAACATTAAGATTATCTATTTTTGGGAACATGGAGGTCATGATTAATCTTGATAATTAGAAGTGAAGTTTGGTGGCAGCTAAGATTATCCCATTGACTAGATTCAAAGTCCAAAAGAAAATTTTCATAACTTTGTGACCCAAGATGTCAAATTTCATATACATGAGCTACGAGTGATTTGTGACTTTTTTGTACCAAAGATAAATGGTATCATTGTATACAATCCCTTATAATAGAAAAATATTTTGCTGGGCTACAACATTATAAAGCTTCCTCTCAAAAATAGCCCAACAATGGCATTGGAGAACTTAAAACATTTATTTGAACCTCAATATCTTGGATCCGAGGAATAGTAGATTTCGAGTACAAAAAGATGATCCATATTATAACATGGTTTTTGGACTATTTATTTCAATTGCTTAAGTTGCTAGATCTACAATATTTTCAGAGCTTCAAATCTATAATTATAGGTGAAGTAGATTTGAAAGTCATATAAAGAGTGAAATCCATCAAGAACATCACAAATTGCACCCCATAATAATTGGGCCAATATTCCAAACTTTTAATATCCAAACCCTAATCCAACCCATTGAGTAATCTTGATCCACACTCTAATCCAAAGCAAGTTTAAACAAAGAAAAAAAAAACAGCAATTACATGTAAATAAAGGCCCTTATATTACTAATAAATCCATCCATATTACATAAAATTATTTAATATAGAATAAATATTCAATAAGACGCTTTATGTTTTAATATAAGACAGTCACAGTCACCCCCGTGCATGATGCATGAAAACCCGTTGCTAGAGGCTTAATTGCACATAAAGTGTTAGGTATTTTGTTTTAAACGGACAGAGCTCTAAGAAAATTGTTATGAAGTTCAAAAAACGGATACATGTGTAATAATAAAAAGTATTAGGTATTGTTGTAATAACAAAAAATGAAACAGATATTTACGTAATTTTTCTAAAACTCTATTTTTTAAACTTTGGGCATCACATACTCTAATTAACAAACATTTAATCTTACATCACATGGCTAAAATGTTTGTGATCTCATGCTCACCTAAAGCAAAAATGTCATACTAAAAAGAATAAGACTATTTATTTTTGATATAAAGATGTCGCAATCATCATTAACTGTTAGATTTGAAATTGGGTAATCGAAAATGTGTTATTGTTTGGGTACAAAGTCTAAAATAAAATTTTTCAAATGATATGATACACATTCATCTATTGGATTTCACATCCAATGGGTAAAAGTGATTGTGGATTCTTGTACTATAAATAAAAGGTCTCGTAGTATATAATCCCATAAAATCATGTGCATGTTAATGAGGGTCCTTGTGCCATCAAACATGTTGGAAATGTAAGAGGAAGGGGAAAAACCAGTTATAAAACGGTCTCACCCTTGCAATATCAGGTCAAGTTTTTTCCATGATACTTTTGTAAAAGAAATTTCATAGAATAATACTTGGAAACAAAAAAGAATTTTTTTCAAAAATATTGGAATATGACAACAAAATAACACATATTTTCAAATACTATCCTATGATTCTTTATGTTTTTCCATTATTTTGGCCGTTTGTAATTTTTCTCCCCATTTCATTCTGTGTAAACATCTATTTCCTAGAA